TACAAATTACCCATTTTTTCCCCAAGACAGGTATCTCTGTGTAGCCTTGGCTGTCCTGGACTTACTTTGTAGACCAAGCTGGCCTTGAACTCACAGAGATCTGCCTGCCTCTGCCTCCCCAAATGCTGGAATTACAGGCTTATACCACCTCACCCAGATCAAATTATCCATCTTACAGTCGTCTTTTGGTGTGGCATTGGTAGCATGGTGGTGCACATAGCTACCTTCTAACTCTGGGCCAATAATTTCCAATGTTTGGAAAAGATGCAAGCTAGTGATATAGCTCAGTGGTGGAGCAATTGTTTAACATGTGTGAGACCTAGGTTCCATCCTGGACCCGCAACCCTTCTATTTCTCACTTCTACACCATTCCTTTGCTGCTGAAATAGAGATTTAAGTTCTATGGTTGTGGGGATTGGGGTGTGGAGCTGTAAGAGACAACTTTCGAAGCAAAGATGGAACAAGTTGCCAGAGAGGCAACGTGGCTTTGGCCTCTGAAAATAGAGTTCAACAAGAGCATGTGTGTCAAGGGTGTGTAGTGCTGGGCAGGTGCCTGCCTTTGTGGTCTTTGAACTAGGACTAGAGATATTATTAATGCTGATAGGAAGGGAGCTAACTGTGTGCTTAGTGGCAATATATATATATATATATATATTAGTAGTTGAAGCATTTTTCCATCCAGCTTTCTCCATGCTGGCATTTTGATTTAAAGAAAATACTGCTACAGCTGTTCACATATTCTGGAAGTATGTATGAGTGCATGCATGTGGTTTTGTGTTTACAGATTTTAAAAAGGGGAGTTTCCAGAGCAACAGAATGGCTGCTTGTCAGTCAGAGTTCATTTCGAAAATGAAAGCTTGGAGTCCACTCTGAGCCTGGGCCTGAGCCTGATCTTTAAGAAGTCCACAGAGGCCAAGAAGTAGCTTTGGCCATTTGGTTCAAGCAAGAAGCAACTTAATCGCTACTTTACTTTTATAAGTCGAGCAAATCAATGAGTTGCTAAGTCCTACAGATTTGGTCTGATGCAGTGATAGGAGATGGCACAGATTCTTCCAACACACACACACACACACACACACTCACACACTCACATACTCACACTCACAGTCATACACACAAAATCACATTTTTCCAGGCTGCCAAACCTGAGCAAAGTAGCACCTATTTGTTTCTTCTACACATACAAAGTATGCACAAGGGTAGTGTGGCACAGTCATCAAGGAGTCAAGAGTTTAATTGACCTTTCAAAGAAAGAAGGAGAAATATAATAGGCAGTGCCCTCTAAGCTGGGAGATGATGGGGTAATAGAAACAGGAGGATGGGAAATAAGAGGATCATTTTGGGCTGGGCCAGAGGAGGCTGGATGGATGAGGTGGATACTGAGGCTGATCTTAAAACATGAAGAACTGGAGCCTGGAGAGATGGCTCAGAGGTTAAGAGCACCGGTTGCTCTTCCAGAAGTCTTGAGTTTAATTCTTGGCAAACACATGGTGGCTCACAACCGTCTATAATGAGATCTGTTGCCCTCTTCTGACATGCAGGCAGACAGTGTATACATAATAAATAAATAGAAATGTTTTTTAAAAAACATGAAGAACTTTAATAGACAGAAGTGTGAAGGAAATGGGAGCCTGAGGCAGGGGGATTGTTGAGAGTTCAAGATCAGTCAGGGCTATACCCTGAGTACCAGGGTAGCCTGAACTATGTAAAACAGTCCTATCTCAAAAACCAAAACAGAGCTAGACATGGTGACAGGAGCATGTAATTCCACCACTTGAGAGGTGGAGGCAGGAGAATCAGGAGATTGAGGCCAAACATGGATTATACAAGCCCCTAATATAAAAAATAACCCAAAATAAATGAATTAACTTAAAAGAGAGAAAGGAAGTTAGTCTAAGCAGAGAAGGGCAAGTGGGAGATATCGTCAGCTTGTCACACTCGGCCATTTGGTTGCAATTTGTTTCCTGTGTGACTGATTTGCTGCAGATAAACCTGGCTTGAATGCTAGTCTCTTTGTGCCAGAACAAAGGCTACCGTGTCACAAAGATTTTCTGCTACTTCCTGCTGGGTGACCTTGGGCAAGTGGTCTAACTTGTCTGCAATCTGAAAGCAGGAGTGATTCTTCATTCCTTAGACCTTGGGAAGAAGTTAACACATTTAAAGCATATGGAAGTGTCTAGTACAAAGGAAATATTTTTTTAAAAAATGGGTCAAAATTCATATACTGCCACAAAAGAACACTCGAGATATTTAGAGCTGGCCCTAAATATTTGAATAGCAAGGAGGAAAAGCTACTCTGTGACCCTGTCCATGACTGGTGCCACTGTACCCAAAGGCTTGGCCTCGGTCTCCTCCTACCCTCATCTGGGTGGCTTGAATACTTTGGTTTCCTGCTTATACCTCTCCCAAAATCACAAACACAATCTGAATTATAGCTTTGTCCCTCCCTTGCTCAAAAGCTTTCTGTGGCTCCCTCTTGCTTGCAGGCTGTGGCTCACTCAGGGAGGCAGAGGCAGGTGGATAGCTGTGAGTTTGCGGCTAGCCTGAACTACGAAGTGAGTCCAGGAGAGCCAAGGTCACACAGAGAAACTCTGTCTTGAAAAACAAAAACAAATCTACTGTCTTGGGTGGGGATGGGAGCAGCATGGCACCCCTGTATTCCCAGCACTTGAGATAGGACAAAGGAGGCTCAGGAATCCAGCGTCATAGTTGGTTACATATTGAGGTCCACGACAGCCTTGGCCACAAGAGACCCTGTCTCCAAAATATAAGAACTGTCATCTCTTGGGACGAGATGCAGGGCGGTTCCTCTGGAGTTCCAGGCCAGCCTGAACTAAAATAAGATAGTGTCTCTAAACAAAAACAAAAATAAAGCAAAAGGCAAATCATCTGTTGGTAAACCGAGAGACTAAGAGTAGTCTAATGTTGTGATAAAAACATTAACTATCCACCTTTTTTGAAAAACTAGAAGCTATGAGTTTCCGAACATCAGCAGGTTTCCTAAGGAAGTATCAGGGATGAAGCTGTGAAGGTGACAGCTGTGTATCTGTGGCATTGGGTCACATTCACCTGCTGCAGCTTTTTCAAACCAACCCAGAGAAGTAATGAAGGGAGAAGGCAGTGAGGCGGGCAGAGATTGGTGACTGGGCTCTGGGGAATGAATACCTCTTCTACCAAGTCCCTGGTCTCAGGTTTCTCCAGAGGAACCCCTAACATTACTCTGGTGTTGCAAAGAAGGTCAAGGTTACAGAAAAAGCAGGGCAGGGGAGCCTGACTCATAGGGAGCAGCAGAGCAGCCTCCCTGAAGGCTTAGGTAGAAGGCACACAGAAACAAAGATTCCTGAAGGGATAAGAGTGAAGGAAGATTTTTGTTTCTGTTGCTCTCCTTATGGAGTTCCTGTCCTCTCCAGATCTCACTGTTTCCCACTTCTTTCCTAAGATTCCCTGCACTCTGCCCAAAGGTTGCCCATAAGTCTCAGTATCGACATTGATAGTCTGCAGGGCAGAGTTTTTCAGAGGTCCTCTGTGTCAGGCTCCTGACTTGTTTTCTCTTTTCTCCTTCTTCTGATGCCCAGCCTCTTTGCCTTTCTGGATAGGAATTGAGCATTTTAGCAAGAGTTCTCCTTCTTGATTAGTTTCTTTAGGTGTACAGATTTTAGTAGGTTTATCCTATATTATATGTCTATATGAGTGAGTATATACCGTGCACATCTTTCTGCTTCTGGGACAGCTCACTCAGGATGATCTTTTCCAGATCCCACCATTTACCTGCAAATTTCATGATTTCCTTATTTTTCATTGCTGAGTAATATTCCATTGTGTAGATATACCACAATTTGTGCATCCATTCCTCCACTGAGGGGCATCTGGGCTGTTTCCAGCTTCTGGCTATTACAAATAAGGCTACTACAAACATGGTTGAGCAAATGTCCTTATTGTGTACTTGAGAATCTTTTGGATATACGCCTAGGAGTGGTATAGCTGGATCCTGAGGAAGCGCTATTCCTAGTTGTCTGAGAAAGTGCCAGATTGCTTTCCAGATTGGCTGTACAAGTTTACATTCCCACCAGCAGTGGAGGAGGGTTCCCCTTTCTCCACAACCTCTCCAGCATTTGTTGTCTCTTGAATTTTTGATCTTAGCCATTCTGATGGGTGCAAGGTGAAATCTTAGGGTCGTTTTGATTTGCATTTCCCTGATGGCTAATGAGGTTGAGCATTTCTTTAAGTGTTTCTCTGCCATTAGATATTCCTCTGCAGAGAATTCTCTGTTTAGCTCTGTACCCCATTTTTTAATTGGATTACTTGATTTTTTGCTGTTTAACTTCTTTAGCAACAGAACCAAAAATCTGAGCACAGGTGTCTTTCCTGAGACTGATATTCCAACCAAGGACTATGCATGGAGATAACCTAAGACCCTTGCACAGATGTAGCCCATGGAAGTTCAGTATCCAAGTGGGTTTCTATTGTAATACGAACAGGGACTATCTCTGATATGAACTGATTGGCCTACTCTTTAATTATCTCCTCCTGAGGGGGAAGCAGCATTACCAGGCCACAGAAGAAGACAACGCAGCCACTCCTGATGAGACCTAATTGACTAGGATCAGAAGGAAGGAAAAGAAGTCCTCCCCTATCAGTGGACTTGGGGAGGGGCATGCGTGCAGAGGGTGGAGGAAGGGAGGGATTGGGACTGGAGGAGGGAGGGAACCACAGGGGGGATACAAAGTGAATAAAGTGTAATTAATAAAGAAAAAAAAAGGGTGAAGAAAGACAGGGTGAGGAGCAGTGATAGCCCCTGAAGCCCCAAGATCACGCTCCTGAGGACTGTGACTGGAATCCCAGCTCAGTCCACAGATGAAAGGGCAACCTAGGGCCTCTTCACCTCAGCAGCTGAGGAAAAGCTGAGAATCGGGGTGACTAGAGCACCACATACCCGCCCCACACCCTCCCTCGTTTGCCAGGGAGGTGCCAGAGGCTGGGCTACTGCTCACCTGGACCTTTGGACTGGAGCCCTCGCGTCTTGAGGTCGTTGTGCTGGTGGTGCAGTGGTACCCAGAATGTAAGCGCCTGGCTAGCACAGGGTACTACGAGACTGGACTGCCCACCCCTCCACTCCCCCCACCGCCCACAAAGGCACCCTGCCATGGCTTGCTCCCTCCCACCAGTCCTTCTCCTCCCCTTCTTGACTCCCTCCCTCGGAGTCTAGTTGCTCAAGACGTTTCCTTCCCCACCGCTAGCGCCAGTTCCTCTCCCTGTGGGGCCCTTGGAAGGCCAATGAACGCTAGACATCGGAGCCACCCCGGGCGGCAGCTGGGAAGATCATGGCCCAGGCCCAAGGAGACGCGAACCCACTGCCCAAGGCTTGGGACGAGCCAGCCAAGTTGAAGGAGCCCAGCGCTCCGCAGATCCGCTCCTACAGGAAGGACATCTGTAGCTTTGGCAAGTACAAGGGCCAAGCCGTCGAGGACAGTACCACCCTGTCCCAGGAGCCTATGTTCCACAGCTCCCTGACGGTGACTGGGGTGAGCAGGTCACGCCGGAGGGGGGCTCGGCGGGAGCTTCTGGGGCTGCAGGGGGCGGCTCCCGCTGGGTGGCTGTCGGAGGAACAGCTGGAGCCCTCCGCGCCTGGGTCCTGCCACTTAAGCGGACAGGGTGGCAGCCGATTGTGCCTTGAGCCACAGGAGCACGCGTGGATTCTGGCGGCTGCCGAGGGCCGTTTTGAAGTGCTGCTGGAGCTGCTGGAAGCTGAGCCCAGCTTGCTGATGCGGAATGACCCTATCACTGGCTACAGCGTGCTGCACTGGCTGGCAAAGCACGGGCAACACGAGGAGCTCATTCTGTTGCATAATTTTGCCAAGCGCCAGGGACTGCCATTTGATGCGAGTGTCTCCGGCAGCGGTGGCCTTACGCCGCTCCACCTGGCGGCTCTGCAAGGCCATGACATGGTCATCAAGGTGCTGGTGGGGGCCTTGGGGGCAGACCCCACGCGTCGCGATCACACTGGCCACCGGCCTTGTCACTATCTGCGTCCCAGTGCTTCTCAGAGCCTGCGGGAGCTGTCCGGAGCAGAAGAATGGGAGATGGCATGCTGCAATGCCAACAATAACAGCAGCAGCAGCACCACCACCACCACCGCTGCCGCCGCCGCCTCCGCTACCGCCAATACCACCATCACTACCACCACCGGGCGGTCACTGAAATGCACTCCAATTGCATCCCGTATCAAGTCCATGGGAACATACTGCAAAGAGGCGGCTCAGCCAGCTGAAGAGAAGAAGGCATCAGCCAATCACGGAGGACAAGGCAATGGCCTTCTGCACCATCTGTACCATCTGTTCCCCTTCATCCAGAACCGTTGAAGGTGACATGGACTAGAAAGCTCATTCTTTCTCAATCCTGACCCCACCCAAGTAGATGCTCCTCCATTATGCAGCTTGGGCTTACAAAGGTCAAACCACATCTGGCCCCTAGTCCTGTCCCAGTTCTCCTCCAGCTAGCTAACAGTCAGAAGAGTGAAGAGCCAAGTACCCAGCCTCAATAATATGGGACTTGGGGCAAGGGTGTTTGGGGCAAGGATCCTGATCCTCCTTGGAAGAGAGAGGGAAAGTTAAGCTTCCAGTTTCTAGGTAGAGTGAAGTGCTGAGAAAATTAGGAAACATTAGAAAAATAATTCAAGACTGTATGATGCTGAGAAAATGCCTAATACCTGCCTGTCTGGGTCTGCTGTTAACAAATTTCCATGTGCTGGTAGAGTTGGACTCTAGCAACCTGCTCCTAGAATGGCCAGACCTGACAAGTAACTGACCTAATGTATCATGGATGAGTTCTTCAGCACATTAAATTGGATGTTTTTCTTTCCACACAACAAAGCTGTTTTTGAGTGTCTTTTTTTTCTTATTAACTATGGGGTTGGGGGGGATACACCTACTTCCGCTTTCAGGGAAGAGGCTGCCAATATATCCCTTCAAGGAGGTGATCCATGGCAGGCTCTGGGCTTCAATCTCAGTGCAAATGGCCAGAAGCCATGTACCAAAGAAATGACCTTCACCTTGGCTCTGCGTAAAAACAGTTTCCCTGCTCAGCCTTGGCATCCAGGTCTGACTTCAGGGACATGTCTTATCCTAGAAGAGTTGTCCTGGAGGGGAGGATCACGGGTAATGAAAAAGCAAAGCCATCAAATTTAAATGTCCAATATTTCATTGGGAGTCAGTAATTTACTGGATTTGTGTTCTCCAACTAGACACACCACTCAGTAGAAAGCCCTTTCCACTGAGATAGCTAGCCTGGAACTTGCTCTATAGACCAGACTGGCTTCAAACTTTCATCCACCCTTGTGCCTCTGCCTCTGGAGTCCTGAGATCACAGACATGTGTCAGTCACAACACCAGGCTCTCATCCACATTTTTTTTTCTAAAGTTAAGTTTAATGTGAAAGTTGGAGTTTGAGGAAAACTGCTCCCATCTTTAAACAGCATGAATGAAACAATACAGCTGAATGGGGGGGGGGGGGGTAGGGGGAGTAGTTGGTGACTACTACATGCTGCTTCAGAGAACAGTGTCTTAAGAAAACATACTGTATCCCTGGATGCATTCATAGCTTGGCAGTGGACTATGGTACTACCCAACCCCCTCAGCCCAGTCTTTGAACACCAGAGAAAAATTGAGTCATTACAGAACAGCCTAGAAACTCTACACTGAGCCCATACATTCTGACCTCCCTACCTTTGACTCATGGGCCTTTTTGTCCCGTGTATGGTGGGAGCTACCCTACCTTCTTGTAGTAACTTATTAGTTTCTTCTTATCCATAGGATGACCCAACCCTTCCTACTGCTGTTTTAGCCTACCCGGTGCCTCTAGGAACTAAACTTTAAGCATTTTGGCCCCCCAGTGTAACCTGGCATTTCCTTTTTCTTATAAATAAACTTTGGAAATGGCTGAAGGGGGAGGGAGAACAGTCCCCATATCTTGTCAAGTGCCACTAGCATGTGGCCTTAGCCCCCTCTATCCCTGTGCCCGTTTGTAGATGTAGACCGGCTAAGTGATATTGTACTGTGGTCCCCGCTCCATACTCCCCCCCCCCATTTCCAGTTGCCAAGGTGAATTGGGTTTTATGAGGTCTGGCAGAGCCTTCCTGTAGCTGGCTTCGAAGGGAAGATTGACATGGACTGAGCATTCAGGGGGCCACCTATGCTAGTGGTCTTATAGAAAAAGTAAGAAACTTGGCATCTTAAGTATTAGCAGATTTGAGGACCTGAGACAAGCACCCACCCTGCTTTTTGCAAGAAGAAAAGGAATGCAGCTGGAGGATTTCAGAGTGATTTTCCATAGCTGATCCTGTAGTTGGCTGTTCTTTCCCATGGATTTTTCTCATCACTGTGATAATGCTTAGCCTACCTCCTCCATGTAAAATTGAGGATTGGCTGCAAAGGACACAGTCCCATGCTGAAAATGTTTTGTGCTTAGCATGAAGCCATTGGCATTTCTGGTATGCTCTTGGAGAAACACTGGTATGCTCACACCAAGAGAAAGAGTAAATTCCCCGAGAAACACAGTTACAGAGATGATGTGAAATTAAATTCTAGTGCTGGACAAGGGCAAGCAAAAAGGGCCTTTAAAAGCAAAAATGAGGCAGGTAAGTGAGAGGGTTGGAAGAGGGGTGCAGAGGAAGCAAGTAGGGAGGAGCTTATTTGAAACCCAGAGACAAGAGTAGCAAAGGCTAGGGGGATGAGTGGGAGCTGTTTGGTGAATGTAGGAAGTGCCAGGAACTGCCAGTCAGTTTGTCAGAATGGGAGTGGTTAATGATAAGTTTGGAAAAGCAGATGGGAGTCTAGATCACAAAGGGTCTCCTAGGCTGTTCTAAAAGAGGCACATGGATGAGTTTAGCCAAAAGATATTTGGGAGTCAAGGAAAGTCTCTAACTGGAGACGTAAAATGATAAGATTTCAGGAAATCGCTCTGGTGGTCACATGGAGGATGAATGGCTGTGCTGGGAAATGAGGGCAAAGGATTCTCAAGCAAAATGAAGCAAAGCAAGCTTCAAGAAGTCCCACCTCAGCTAGGGCAGACTCCTGTGAGGCAGGGCCTTGAATCTTTTCTTTCCCTCTACACCAGTGGCTCTTGACCTTCCTAATGCTGTGACCCTTTAATACAGTTCCTCATTTTGTGGTGACACTCCAACCGTAAAATTATGTCATTGTCACTTCATAACTGTAATTTTGTTACTGTTATGAACCGTAAGGTAAATATCTGATATGCTAGATATCTGATAAGGGACCGCTGTTAAAAAAAAGTCGTTTGCCTTTCAGAGGGGTCATTACCCACAGGTTGAGAACCACTGCTCAACACCCTGCACTCCAATGAGGCTTACTTAGAAGCCGCATGTACAGACCTGGCAACATGAAGCTTTTCCTATTGTAGCTGGCTAGAGCTTTTCTGCTTCCTCCTCCTCCATTTCTTTCTTCTAGATGGACAGATAGGTGGCCTCTGGTGTACTAGAAAGTGCCAAGCCTACCCTGAGTTCAAATCCTGACTCTCAGTTAGTGACCTTGAGTAGAGTGCCCACCTCTCTGAGTTGCAGTTTCCTCATCAGTAATACAGGGGCAACTCACTCTGTCTGGAAGAGCTGTTCAGATTGCAAACGGCTCTACCAACATTGGGTAGCATACTAGAGACAAAGAGGGAGTAGAAGATGTCATCTATGGGACATGACTGGAAAGGGGTTGGCAGGGCTTGTAGTGAAAGCATATTATCTGCTAGGGTAGCTCAGGAGGGCTCTTGTGGAGGACATGCATTAGCTCAACTTAAAAACAGGTCCATCGTAAGGTTGGAAATGTAGCTCAGTTGGTAGAGTACCTGCTCAGCAGGCATGAGGTTCTGGGTCTGAATCCCAGCACCAAACAAACCTACCCTGGTAGCACATGTCTGCAATCCTAGCAGCAGAAGAGAAGTAGGATGACTCGAAGTTCAAGGTCATCATTGACTGTATAGTGAGTTCAGTACCAGGCTAAACTACATGAAACCCTTCCTCAAAAGAAAGAAAGAATAGAAACAGGGTTCATGTTTATTACTGATCATTTTTCATATGTCGTAAAGGAATAGCTGCTCCTCAAAGGGGACATTGGTGGCCCTGGTGATGTTCTTCATATAGACTTTGAATTATTTTATTTTTTGGTTGGTTCGAGACAGGGCTTCTCTGTCTGTAGGACAGAGCTTTTGCTGTCCTGCTCATGCTCTGTAGACCAGGCTATCCTCGAACTCACAGAGGTCTGCCTGTCTCTGCCTCCCTGAGTACTGGAATTAAAGGCGTGTGCTACCACGCCTACTTTTTTTTTAAAGTTTTCTTTGGTGCTGGGGTGGAACTCAGGGTCTCCAGAAAGAAGCATATGCGGCACCATTGAGATAGACCTTTAGTACTATTATAGTGTTCAGGGGATTATTCACTTTGAAAGAGACTCTTGTATAGCTAAGGTTAGCCTTGAACTCCTGATCCTCCTGTCTCCACCTACAAGTGTTGGGATTACAGATAAATGCACACCACGTCTCCCCCACCCCCGTTTAATTTCTTTATACTTGGTTTTGTGTTGAGGCAGAATCTCTATCTTTCAGCACAGACTGGCTTGGAAGTCATTTTGTCAGCCAATACTGGCCCCAGACTCAAGGAAACCTTTTACCTCTGCCTTCTGTGTCCTGGGATTACAAATGTGAAGTACCATGTCTAGCTTTTAAAACAGGATAAGTAAATAGCTCAGGTGGTAGAGTGCTTGTGTAGCATGCACAAGGACTCAGGCCAAACCCCCCAAACCAAGTAAGCTAGGTACAATAGCACAGGCCTGTAATCCCAGCACTTGTGAGGTGGAGGCAAAAGGTTGAGATGCTCAGTGCCTTTGATTACCTGTCAGGTTCAAGTCTTGTAAAAGCAGCTTCTATTAAGTGTCCAACAAATACTAAATATGTCAGATATTGTTTCCAGTGAAGTCATAACTGAGAGTTCAAGGCCAGTCTGAAATCTGATGAAAAGAATGAAGCTGTACATGCCTTTCATTTCTTAACTCTATTATCTATGGAAATGTCCCCATTCCAGTTGACATACTATGTACAGTGTTTCTAGTCTCCCTGTCTTTCCTCTGCCCATTCATTTTAATAGATGAGTATGCCTGTTTTCTGTCAGGATTTAGCTCATGGGATCAGGCTTAGTGGCACTAACCAATACTTCCAACAACTGGGGAGACCAAGCTTTGAGCACAGGAGTTTAAAGCCATGTTGAGCAGTACAGGAAGTCTCTTCTCTCTTAACTGAAAAATAAAAGGGGGATGACTTAGGGAACAGGTATAGCTAAGTTGGTAGAACATTTGTTTAGCATGTAAAAAGCCCTGGGTTTCTTTCCTAATACCACATAAATTGGCCATGGTGGTAAATGTCACTAATCCAGCCCTTGGGAGGTAGAGGCAGGAGGATCGGACCAGCCTGGACTACAAGAGATCCTGACAAACTCTGTCTCTGTCTGTCTGTCTGTCTGTCTCTCTCTCTCTCTTTCTCTCTCTCTCTCTCTCTCTCTCTCTCTCTCTCACACACACACACACACACACACACACACAACCAGGCTAAGCTACAAATTCAAGGACAACCAAGACTTTATAGGAAGACTTTGTCTCTGAAAAATAAAAACTCAATCAATCAATCAATCAAAAATAAGAAGCCGGGCAGTGGTGGCACACCTGTAATCCCAGCACTCAGGAGGCAGAGGCAGGTGGATCTTTGTGAGTTTGAGGCCAGCCTGGTCCACAGAGCGAGTTCCAAGACAGCCAAAGCTACACAGAGAAACCTTGTCTCGAAAAACCAAAATAAGTAAATAATAT